GAATRAATCAACCAGTGATCCAGACCTGTCGCATTTGTGGTTTTGAGTACGTGCTGCAATATAAAAAGGATTTTCAGAGCAGTCAGACACAATCAATGGAAACAGGTRAGGCAGAGGTGTTCATAATAAAGAAGGGTGTCAGCTTCATGTCAGAGGAATGTCAGAAAGCCTCCATCACACCTGGAGCTGGCACAGCTATAAAGTGAGAATCAGAACGGGGAAATGGTAWACAAGACATTGATTGTACTGTTTGCTGTGACAGGCACATTACTCCTCACTCTGATGGTCTGTCAGAGGGAGTTCTGCAGAACCACTGCTCCCCCATGACAGGGCTGAGAGGATGAAAGTGCCCAGACTGAAATATACCCTTTGTGTCTAATTCAATTCCTAAATCTCATCAGGAATGGGATAGAAGCACGGGCTCCATTTGTTCTAATGTGAACTGAATTCACTGAAAGAAATGACTCATAGGAGAGGCTCAAGGACCTGGGGGAGCTCGTAATCCTGTCTCTAATTTTGGAAACACTTCATGATTTGTATCCTCTTTCAATGCCAATGGAAAGAATGAAATTTAATGCCAGGTGCATCAGGGCGTCCTGGCAGTTTTGACCTTTCAGAGAGCGAACTTGGATTTACAGATGGCAAGATTGACTGCAAGCACATCCCACAACACTGAGTGCTGMCTTCCAGGCTCGCTAAGATTTACTGGAATACCCCAGCCCATACAACAACTGCTCAACAGCCACAGGAAGGGAAGTTTTACTAACAAATATCCCTGTCTGTAATTTTTACCAGTAATTCCCAAGACATATTTCCGCCTTCAAAATCATGTTAACCAACGTGATGTGAACTTGTAAYGTCTTTTTCTCATAGGACTCCTCAGCCTTACACATTGCAAATCTAATACTAAGGCTTCTTCATTGCACACATAGYAGAAATGTGAACATGACGCAAAAGTGGATCACTTGATAATAAAATCCAGTGCAATTWAATACCTCTGGAAAGCGAAATTAATTTAAGCACTAATCCAAGAACCCGATTTTTTGSTGTTTCCTTTTGAAGGCACCTAACTCACCTGTCCCCATCTCTTGTAATTCTCCTTCACTAATAAAAGTTCAAAATAAATCCTGGAAGTGTCCCATTTGTGAGATGAGACATCAGCTACCATCACACACCTAAAGTGTATTTGTGCACCTACATTTTTGGTGTAATAAAAAAACAAGACTTTAACTGATATTTGCCTGTTTTTTGCACCATAAAAATCTTGTCACAATGTCATGGCCCCTCAGCTCCAGAATGGAATGAATAATACTTAGCCATTAATAACCTCCACTATTTAATAAATAATGGATAACATTTAATCCTGACTTGAATCATGACAGAAAAATGCCACGGGAGTCCCAGTTTGGGCCTATTCATGAAAGAGCAGATTCTGCTCTCCTCAGAGGTGATGCAAACGTTTATTCCTTGGTGTCTCTCTGATTACAGATGGCCAGGAATACTCYCTGTACCAACTGCACCATGCTGCTTGCACTCAGGTACCAAAATAACACTGCTTAGTCCAAGCTACATACAGCTCATTTATATTTGATCTCAAATCAGACCTGTGAAAACAAAAGAATGCTGTCTCACAATCTACTTTGTCTCGTTCCATGAGATCAGTGGGCAAGTAGAGGTTGCTACAAATACAGGTCACAGCACACCCTTACTTTTCTCCCCTTCACAGTAACTCAGAAAAACAAAAAGCTATGGCCCACAAAGGTCTTCTTAATTTCCTTTATCGACTGAAACGTAAGACAGAAGGCGCCTGAGCAACCCTGAGCCACACAACAAAATAGATGCAAGGACCAGCAATGAAAACCACTAAGTAATGAAACAAAAGAAATTATGAAAAGGAAAGCTAAAGATCAATATGCTGCTTTTCTGAAAGACTGTGCTCAGCTCTAAAATCAGAGTCGTTTGTGCTGAATGCTTAATTAGTTATAGATTGCTAAAGAAGGATTCCAGACCATCTGGAGTCTATTCTGTAAGTTGAACTGAAAACCTCTAACTCAAAAATAGTCCCAGTGGGAARGCACAAACATACATACCACAACCTCATCAGCAAGTTTCTAGAACATATTTTAGATAAAAATATGCCATCTTTATCTCCTGGGAAACCTGAGATGAAAAATAAAAGAACCCAGATACCAAGGTACTAGAAACAATTGGAGAAGCAAGGGATAATTTCTTAAAGGGGCAACAAGAGGGAAATTAATTCCAAAAAGCTGGATGAGCAGCTTTAGCTTCTGAACATTAAAAGATGCAATTATTCAACAAAGTCAGATMATCACCCAGGCGATAAACATAAATTTTCTGAGCTTTTACAGGAAGCTTAAAATAAGATTTACAATATAGCAGAGGAAGAGAGGCCCCCATCACACTGGGAATGGTGGGGGGGTGGGGGGATGGAAATTAGAGCATCACACAGAAACTGAACAAAAGTCATCCTAAAATAGAACTTTGGAGTGATGCCATAGTTACTAGCTATAAATACAGAACATGCTGATGTATTAAACATATTTTTTAATACAGCCTTAACCGGAATGGAAAAGATAGGCAAGTCTTGACAAAGATTTTGGTCACCATCAGCAGCACAAAGAAAACTGAAATAATTTTAGACATTGACTAGTGAAAAGCTTTTGTTTTTTTCCTTAAATCTGGTTGGATCAGACTATTTCTGTACCAAGAATGGAAGAATTAGCAGGTGTGTCTTAGAATGAGAAAAAAGTTTATGTTCAATATTTGAATTACAGTCCAATGGCACAGCATCTCCAAGGGAAAACAGCAATAATGTTCTGGACATGGTAGAAGAGGTCCTTATTAACCARTTGACAATCAGCCTTTTTAAAGGACCTTTGTCCCTAAGAATCAGAGCAGACCTTTCCAGCGTGTATTTCCTGGTCTTTTTTAATAAAGATTGTCTCCTAGGAACCTAAAGAATGGGAYTGGAAGCAGAATTTGTTTCATTTTGACATTGGAAAGGGTTTCCAGAAAGAAAGTCAATGGGGAAAAAAAAAAAAGCTATAAAATATGAACTGCCTGAGTATTCAAAAAATAAGCTGCAGTCTGGAATCATAAATGTCTCTCTAACCTGGCTGTGACTGAGCAAGCCTTAACAGAGGGAGTTTGAGGCAAACTTTTTATCCTCTTTCCTTCCATCCAGCACAGCCCATGCTCACAACATAAGATACAGATGTGGGGACAAATTTTCCCATTCAGACAGGGACTCCATCTGCCTCTGCACATGGTGACAAAGAGGATGTCAAGCATGAAATACATTTCCCTATAACCTTCGGTACGTTGTGAAGTACAAATGTGGKATTTGGAGCTCCTCGAGAACTGGGAGAACTGCTTCTAGTCAAACCTTTTGAAAAATCCCCATTTTCATGAAAGTATTGACTACAYAAATTGATAAATCAAGATTCTTATCAGGCCTCTTTCAACACTTGACACAAATTCCAAGTTTTCCTCTACAACAGCAATTCACCTGCATCTAAATGACTTGATTTAAATAGGATACAAATGATCATTAAGGGATGACTGCACATGAATAGAAGAATGGAGATGTACAAAGCAGGAATTGAAGAGAGAATTCAAGTAGTTTCTCCCTCAAAACCTCAGAGATTGTTTATACAGGCAGSCAAATTTCTTTCAAGATTTTTAATGCACAGAGATTTGTGTACTTCTACAGTTGTCCCTCTGTTAAATGAGATTAATTCGTATCTTTATAGATTATTGCATTAACTATTATATTAAATAAAATTATTAAATAAATATTACAGGCAGTAAATGAACAAAACCTGTCCAGTCTTATGCCTGATGCTGATATATAAATTCAGCTAACACAAATGAGGACAGCTACCAGAGTTTCTTTCACATTCTGGCTAAAAAGGAAATCCTCCAATGTCCAAAGCCTCCTGACTGGTGCAGATGRCATTATTTCCTGAAGCAACGCTGCCATCTGGTGAGGGAAAGGCTTAAATCCACGTTTTTATTCCAGAGATGTCTCTGCTGAGAACAGTCTGACTGGAGATCAACGGGACACACAGGTAAGGAATGGACAGGAATGTGAGCTGCGAATTTGCTCTCCCTTCACAAAACCAAGCCCTTGAACACGAGTGGGAAGGACAAGCAACACTGTCCGAGAACTAAGAATTCTTCAAAGCAAGCCCACCTTCAGTGCCAGCACAACATTCACGTTGCAGTGGGAAATTCAAAACTAGGTGAACTTGCATTTCGGGTGTAAATGAAAGCAAAAGAACCACAGGCAGTTTTTGCTAAAAGTTGGTGAATTCCACTTCCTTTCTTTTAAACCCCACTACCCAGCTGGTATTTTGTATTGCTGGATTAGAAAACCCATGCAATCAAAAAAAAAAAAAAAAAAAAAAAAAAAAAAAAAAAAAAAAAAAAAAAAAAAAAAAAGCATTTTGCATAGCCAGATACTACATCCATCCATCAATCCCTGACATTAGGATCAAGGAACAGAGTACAGTTAAAAGGAACAAAAGCATACTCCTGATCTACACTAAAGCACACATGCACCCTGAGTATTTTAAACATTTAGAAATTGGGTTACAGGAGTAGATGATCAAAGGAAATGTCTTTACAACACTTGTTCAGTGCCTGTGTATAACTGYTCTCTTGTTTGTACTAGCCTGATTCAGTCACAGCAGAATTAGGCAAACCCCTCTGTACACTCCCATGAATCAGCAGGAGCTCCAGGAGCAGGCGAGCTGAGTGCCCCACTGCTGTGAATGAACAGGTCCCCAGTCTGAGATGACACAAGCAGAGCTGTGGACTGCACTCCCCATCACTCCTCACTCAGATCCCTTCCCAGTGATTCTCACAGCACAAAGCACTCGCTGTCCCTTTGGTCAGCAGCACTGGATGTGACAATCTACAGACACAGCACCCTGCACCCGCTGCTTTGCACACACTGAACAAAGGGCATTTCMTACCTTATTTCTTGAAGATTCACTGGCACTTTCAAAAGCAGCAGAAGTCAATAATGCACCTGCCTTTCCCAGGCTACATGAATAATGAGTTCTTCAGTCAGTGAAAAGTAAAGCACACTGGTATTTCACTCAGACCTAAAAAAGAGAGGGCAAATTTAAGAGAAGAGTAGCCTACCATTGTTCTGTAGGAGCTATGCCTTAAATACTTAAGAAGGTTACATCGGAAGGTTTAAAAAAGAATATATGGGTGGTATAGATTGCTAGATGAAGGAGAAGGRTCATGTTCCCTGAATATAAATGAAATACTGATATTTAAATTAAAGCTTTCTAGAAAAGGTACAAGTAGCACTAAAGAATTTTATTTAAATCAAAACCTAGCAGGAATTCTTTTGATGAAAAATAAACTAATTTACCATGGAAGATTAACAAGACAAGTAAAATGTTTTCATAATACTTACATTATTTTTGAACTAGTGTTATTTTTTTTAATAGCCAGAAGACACAGCATTTTCTTTGACCTACTCTAAATACCTTTTAATTGGATAGACATAAATYGAACATTCAGTTCAACCTTTTGGGTCTCTTTTTGTCCTTTCCCAACACAACCTACTGCAGAGATTTGCTAGATGTTCCTTGAAAATAAAAACATTTAAAACAGTGTAAATATAACCTCCAGTAAGTTACTGTAGGACTTCAAAGATGCCCAAGATGCACACATTGGGGTACCAAGAACAATTCCTACACTATAATAAAAGGACAGTATAAAGGTCTTTCTACAATGCTGAAAAAAAATCCTTCCCTATTTAACCAAACTTTCTTCCCARTTACAGAACCTAACATTAACATTGGAACATGGCTGTTGAGCTTGAGTTATTCAGCTAGAACCTAATTAAACTACTCCCAGCACAGAAATTAGGAAAAAAAGTATATTCTTATATCTTAAGTGGCTGATGATGTAGAAAGGAGCACAGAGGTCTCTGGATGATACTGTGCAGAAGGCTCAGGGAGAATACAGCCCTCAGTAAGACAAACCAAGCATTCTTCATCTCTGCAAGAGGTGCAATAATTTTATGAGGGCACACTTCTTCACAATTCACTCTCTAGATTCTGCTATACTGAAATAAATCAGTCTTAACAGCTGCCAGTGAATCCATGTAAATGCATTCCTTTTAGTTTGCTCAGCAGTGGAACAACAAAGATCTTTTAGTCTTATTAAATTCCTGGTGGGTTTTTGTTTTCACCCTGTTTTCTGGCACTGGATTCAAGTCTGGTGTTCTGGAAAATGCAGCAGTGAATCACCTCTGACTCTGTAAAGAAACAAGATTAATTGAGCAGTGCCTGATCATAGTTTACCTCATTAAATATTTGTGACTTGGTGAAATCATGATTTTCCCTTTCCTGTGAAAGCACTACACCTACAGGAATGTTTAGTGGATCCAAATGTTTACAAACGCTTAGGAAATACGTGAATATGTCACCAGTAGCTTCTAGTGAYGAGAGCACTTCTTATTATCCTTACTTCTAAATCTGCCAGGCAAACTGAGGTCTGGTTACTGTGTCAGTCTGCAGCCATTTCCCCTCTTCGTGGAGATGTGGCTGAAGAGCTGTAAATGGTCTCTGTTTGCGTTGATCCCTTTCTTGCTGAGGAATTTCTCTTCCCCATCTCACTGTCATCCTGCAGTGAGAAACCTGACTCTCTTCTCCACAAGTTTCTCT